AGTTCACCTCAGCAGTAAAGTAAAATAGGTTGTATTAGGGGACCTTGTAGAGAAAATGACAACTGATCCAAGATTAAACAAATCTTAAACACCTGAAATTATCACGGCTTTTGGCCTGTTAAATTCAATCCAGTTTAAAAAAATTCCTCCTTTTTCTCATACGGAAATTGTCTCCTCCCCATCATGAATGAAACTTCTCTCTTTCTCTCTCTCTCTCTCTCTCTCTCTCTCTCCTCTCTCTCTCTCCTCTCTCTCTTCTCTCTCTCTCTCTCTTCTCTCTCTCTTTCTCTCTCCAACCAAAAAAACAACACTCCAACACCCTCCTCTCCTCTCTCTCTCTCTCCTCTCTCTTCTCTCTCTCTCTCTCTCTCTCTCTCTCTCTCTCTTTCTCTCTTCTCTCTCTCTCTTCTCTCTCTCCTCCTCTTCTTCTCTCTCTCTTCTCTCTCTGCTCTCTCTCTCTCTCTCTCTCTCTCCTTCTCTCTCTCTCTCTCTCTCTCCTCTCTCTCTCTCTCTCTCTCTTTTTTTTTTTTTCACACATGGTTTGCAAGGTTTAGGGATTCCCTAGCTTTATTGACAAGCTATTTGAGGTTAAAGGATTCCTAGACTTTATTGGCAGCTATAAGAGCTAGTAGCTGTTTACCTACATCAGTCATTTGAAGGAATTTTTATTGTTATGAGCATACAAGTAGGAAAACAGGATGAAGTTGGAGCATCTGTGGGGCCAGGCATTTTCATATTTGATCAACTCTGACTTTATCTCGTTGACATCATTTGCTGTACGAATGTGTTCCCATACTCGAGTCATCCTGGGTATGTTATGTATGTTCTCAGATTGGATGATGTTCTGGAGAAGGGTACCGCCAGAAGTGAAAGTGATGCTTTTCTGCCCGCCCGTCTTGTGGCATAAAAAAGCTTTGTTTTCTCGCTGTCCTCGAAAGTGTGTTCCAAAGTGTTGGTATTTTGACAATATTAGGGCCTTGTGTACATAACAGTAAGGCACCCATCATCCCTCCTATTATGTTGAAGGCTCTGTCTCCTCGCTGAAATGACGATCTTATCCAGGATGGGTCCAGGCGAGAGATGAGGACGTCTTGTTTTCTCTACTCCGTCAAGCAGTCGCAGGATGAGAGGGGGGGGGGCAGCGGGGGGGGCAGGCAAACAAGAAAGTGGAGATTACTCCCACTCAAGGTGCGAGCGCCGTACTTGTGCTCGTACAGGATCTTGCAAACCCTACTAGCAAGCAGATGGGGAGATACGGCGAGTGCTGATAAGCTTCTTGGCTGCCTTGTTTGCAAGATTTACAACATGGTTATTAATGATTAGGTTTGGAGTCAAATTTCACCCCAAGGTGATTCAACTTCTTCTCCAGGGGCCAAATCTCCCCATTCATCCTTACTACTGCACCAGCATTTATTACCATCATCATGGATGCTAGAGGACGATCATCATTTGCGTTTTCTCAGGTGCAAATGTTACTTGCATCTATTTCCCAAGCTGATATAGACTCTCAGTGGTGATTGATGTAGCTTAGAGCAGGGCTGGCGTTTCTTCTTTGGAATAATAGTGAATGTCAGTGTACATGATACAGTCGTTCTGCTATGCATGGGATTCTGGGATGAGATGAAGAAAGAAGGTCGTTGAAGTAGGACATTCCATAAACAATGGACCCAGCACGCCTTCCCTTGGTGGAACACTTGGCACCAATAGGATGTCTTGACTGATTCCGTTCCATAGAGAACTACACCTTAGAGATCTACCATGACAGGTAGTCCACTGCTGAGGGAGACATAGCGTTAGAGCCTGCAACTCCAGTTCGTGAAGTTTTTGCTAAGAGGCATGGTGCCACACCGATCGAAACGCCAGCAATGTCCAAGTGCCACCACACGGCTGACTTTGGAGTCATCCAGTGAACTGGTGCCACTTAGTGGAGAGGTTTAACAAAAGATCAGCTAGGCAGAGTGTAACCTTTCCTGAAGCCATATTGACGATCACAAAAGAAAAGAATAGAATGTGATTGAGTGGAGGAGTGGTAGTCAAAAAAAATCTGTCATTTGTCTTGAGATTATTGTCTCAAGATACTATCCAGTGATTGACAGGAGTGACATGGTCTGTTAGTTGCCCTGATTTCATTTCTGATTCTGCTCCTTCTTTTTGTGAACAGGGAACTACATTCGCCTTTTTCCATAGAGGAGGGCTATTTACACTGTTTACTAGGCAGAGCTTGAAAGATGCGGTTAGAGGTGCTGCTAGCTGGTCTGCACATCTTCTCAACATCTTGAGGCTCACTTGACTGGGCCCACCAGGGCCTTTTCTTGGTCAAGCGATTTAAGTAGGAAATCACCTCCTCCCATGTTATTGTCACCACTGACAGTTTTGACACAGGTTTCTTGCAGCTAGCCTAGGAGGGTCATTGCTGGATCCTCAGGAAACTTGCATTTTGGTAGCAAAGTGTTCAAGCAAAGAGGTCTCCCGCCTTCTCTTGACTACTAGTAGAGGTGGTCCCATCCTGTCGATTTAGAGGTGGAATAAGTTCTCAGGCAGATATAAACTTGTCTGTCCGTGACCAGGGGGACCACCAGGTTTTTGGAGCCTACCCTACTGATATGTGCTAACTTTCTTTTAGTGTCGACTCCCATTTAGCAATGGCCCACTTTTGAACATCAACCCATATGCCTACAGGCTCAGGCTTGCCATGTGCAGTTCCTGTTATAGGTGGTTTTAGGATGTTCTCTTATACCTTTCCCATGCTTTGTACTTAGCAGTTGCAGCCTTCTACACGAAGCCAAACCAATGTGATCCGTAGGCTTCGTCACATATTGCCCGGTGAAGGAATGTGGTTCTTGTTGAGATTAAGGATGTGTCCAGAGAAGGCTTTCACTTGAGTTTGGTCAACATCCCTTTGGAGAGAGCATTCCAGTCGGTTGGTGGCGAGCTCAGAGCAAAGGGTGGCCAATACCTCTTTCCCAAAGCCAGGTTGTGCGTGTGGACTCCTCACCTTCGTTCTGTTGGGATCTTAAGTGTCGTAAAACAAAAAAATAAAAACAGCTTGTGGTCAGACGCGATCCAACATTAGCCGAGGGTTGACAAGTGACTATGCCTTCTGCCAGATCCACTCACTCGGGTCAAGGGAGGAAGGAAGGAGCAGAGATATGAGTAGGGAAATAAACAAAGTTTTCATGTCAAACCATGCGCAAGGAAGGTCATCAAAGAGTCCCTTGTATAGGTGTTGGTTGAGGTCACCAAGAATTATAATAATGTTGACAGTTGTGTTGTAGCTGAAGGGAGGCAATATTTTCCATTAGGAAGTTGATAGGGTCCTGCATGTTGCCACTGAGGTCCTTCTATGTTACGTTGCACATGCTAGTACAGAGGTAACTAGTGTTTATACGAGCTTGAAGAACATCATTTCAAGATTGTTGTAGGGTGGCAACAATTCAATGTGCTGGGACATGAACCTTTTAGAGAGAGCACACAGGCAACACCTCCTCCTTGCCCTTGCTTGTCTCTTCTCATCCATGAGGTGTAGCCAGGAATTCTTGCTGGCTCTCTCTCTCTCTCTCTCTCTCTCTCTCTCTCTCTCTCTCTCTCTCTCTCCTCTCTCTACTTCTCTCTCTCTCTCTCTCGCTTTCTCTCTCTTTCTCTTCAACTTCCATTCACTTTACATTAGCTCTATGGAAATATATTTTTTCAGTGACGCAAAAAAAATATCATTAACAATATTTTTCTAAAATCTTATTCTCATTTTTTCTCTTTTCAGAGAGAAGAGAAATTAAGGAGGGAACAATTTGTTCTCCACCTGGAGGAAGAGAACACTCTGAGGAGAAGCCAGGAGGTGGAGGAACTGAAAGACCGTCAAGGAAGAGACGAAGAGGAGAAAGAGAGAATAAAGAAAGTAAAGAGAATAAAGAGAGAGCAAACAGAGACTAAAGAGAGAATAGAGTACAGAGAGAATAAAGAGAGAAAAAGGAGAGAATAAAAAGAGAATAAAAAGAGAATAAAGAGAGAATAAAGAGAGAATAAAGAGAACTATTTACACTTAAACCACAGAACAAAAACCGAGCTCCAATTTGTTATAAACCTTGAAAGTTTTATATAAAAAAGAAACTTACAAAACCTTAAAATACGAAAATTTTAGAGATTTGATTTATTTACGAATAAATCGTTAACGGAATAAATTCGGACAAAAATTAATCTCCCACATTAAAAAAAAAACAGAGAAAAGGAGGAAAAAAAAAAAAAAGAGAGAGAGAAGAGAGGAGAGAGGAGAGAGAGAGAGAGAGGAGAGGACGAGAGAGAGACGAGAGAAGAGAAGAGAGCGAGGAGAGACCGAGAGGAGAGAGAGAGAGAGAGAGAGAGAGAGAGATCGTCAATTCATTTCTAGAGGCAGAGTTAAGACATCTAGAAAAGTGACTCAGTGCTAGAAGTGAAAGTGTCAGGAAAATAACGGAAATTGATAATGTAAGTGGTACACTGGTACACTTGGGTAAGTGGAACAGTGAAGGTGTAATGACTAAGTGGTGTTAAAGTGCTTAATAGCTCTAACGAAGTGGTACAGAGTTAGTAAGGAAGTGAAAAGTGCCAGACTGGGTACTGAATGAAGAGCGAAACGTGCCTGGGAAGCGGAGGCAAAATGACAGTGAGGCTAAGTGGGCATAAACAGCCACTTAAGTGGGAAGAGATGCAGTAACGTTCAGGAGTAACACTTAACAGTACCGCAAAGTGCATCCCTAGAAGTGAACACAAGTGTAAATTATAAGTGAAAAAGTGCCATAGGAACTTCCAAATCTGAGGTTAAGTGGACCTGATGACAGACAAAATCTGAAAAGCGATTTTAAGTGACTGGCTGATAGTTTCCTGGCTACGTCTGTACGACAGGCTGCTTTAAGACACTGAAATAAGACAGGAGGGGAGAGAGAGAGAGAGAGAGAGAGGAGAGAGAGAGAGAGAGAGAGAGAGAGAGAGGAGAGAGAGAGAGAGAGAGAGAGGGGAGAGAGAGAGAGAGAGAGAGAGAGAGAGAGAGAGAGAGAGAGAGAGAGAGAGAGAGACAGAGAGAGTTTCCAGCATCAGTATTATCGAGTCATTCCTAGGCAATTTTTTCTCTTAGCCTCAAGAAAATTTCTTCGTCTTCAAGTCTTGAGAGAGAGAGAGAGAGAGAGAGAGAGAGAGAGAGAGAGAGAGTGTCCATAGCCCAAAGAATTTTTCACATTTTCCCCCTTCAGCCCAAAAAAAGAAAATCATCTTGCGTCTTTAGCTCCGTCAAGAAACATATACCATATATACCACTGGGAGAATATTTTCTTTCCTCTCTCCTCCGTCTGGATCTTAAAACGTCTTATTTATTCTATATATTTGTAAAGAAAAGACAGTTTCTCCGGACCAGCAATAAAAACAAATTTTTACTTAGCAGAAAAGGTCTCTCTTGCGTATTTGGTCTCGGACCTCAGCTAATCCTTCCGGTACATCAGACCAGAAGGGCAGTATAACCCTTAGTTATTTCATGGACTACAGAGAAATATAAGGGACCTGTTTCTGGCCTAGAAAATAAGAACTTCCGCGTCTCTTTCTCTTCTCCTCTTCCTCTTCCTTTTCCTCCTCCTAGTCTTCCTTTTTCTTCTTCATCCCTTCTCTTCCACACGTCAATCCAAAGGTGTGATCACACTCCTGCCAATCTCAAGGGCTCTATTCTGCGCCTCCTTGCCTCCTCTAACCTCGCAGTCTCGGAGGTCAGACGACCTCTCCTCCTAAGCCATGGAGGTCATGGCTTTCCTACGTCTTACAGAAGTCCTACGTCTCCTACTACTAATGTTCTCACAAG